GGTAGACATGGCAGGGGTGGGAGGTGTACACCCGTTACTGAAAGTAATCATCAGAACTTTCTGAGCTCCCAGAGACTTCCTCTATCCCTAGGCACCTCAACAACCCCCAAAGAGCAAACAACTCCTTCCATGCCAGGGGATTCCCTGAGTCTACGCACATGGCTCCCAAAACATTACTTCCCTTTCCTTTTTTTCTGGTATTTTATAATAGTGACTGGCCCACAATACCACATTCCACTGAAAGGTGCTGGTATCTCTAACACAATGTATTCTAGCCTGAAATCCATCAAATTAAAGACTTAAAACTAGTCTTCCCCAATCCGTCACTCTGGTAAGCTTGAGATTCTGTTCACTACTAATGACAACCACTTATTAAATATGTACTATGTGATAAGCACTTCAATACGCTAAGCAATTTTGTACTTAGTTCCTTTAAAGAAGATGTTATCACCACCCCTGCTCGCAGATGAGAGAACAATTAATGACCACACAGCTAATGAGTGCATACATTTTACATGCCAGTTTATTAAAATACTACCCTTAACCTCTCTATCTCCAACATCAGGTAGCATGCCTGTCACTAACAAGCACTCAGATATCTGTCCAGCAAATAAATGATGGCACCACATGCAGTGTTTTGCAACCGAATGGTACCTCTCCCCCGAAAAGAGTTTGGAAATACATGGGAGTGTTTTAGGTTGTCCCAATGTGGGGGTCACTATCAGACTTTAGTGGATGGGGGCTAAACAAGGGACACTCTTGTCCAAAATGCCAACAGCATCCATACAGAATCACTAAACTATAGGCTGGTTCATAAAGAAAACCTTCCATGGTAAAGTTAATCCCCGTTAATTATCTTAATTTATGAAGTAACTTCTTATTCATTGACAGTTTGCTTAAAATATCTTAAAAGACAACATCAATCTCTTTAAATAACACCTTTTTTTTGCATTTACCTGCATTTTATTTTGAAATACACACACACCTTATTTTAGATATAGAGCTAATGCTCCATCCTTCTTATCCTCTGATGTAACCAAAGCACCTCTCCTTCATTGCCCACCTGGGTCCTTTCTGAACTCAATAAATAGCAGATCTGCACAACGATACAACATTAGAGGGAGATTTCCCACTGGAAAAGAATTTTACTTCATTATCAAGAATATAGCGTGAAATTTCTAGTTCCAAGGGTCACTCGTGTCAACAGGAAATTTCAGACTGCCCTGGTTCATTGCCTGAGCTATCTTTCCAAAGGCACTATGCTAATGGTTTCTACTACATCTTAGAAACGTCAATGAAATAGAAATGTAACATGCATTAGAATATAACTAAAATGGTATAAAATTCCACATCCAAAGGATGAGAAAGATTTACTGCTGCAAATACAGCAGAATACACACAAGAAGAAAATTTAAGTAGGAGGTACTTAGCCAAAACTGTAGCTACCCCTAAGCAGACTCAAGTTCAAAAGGAAGACTGACTGCCTGGGGGACTGGTGAACCACAAGGACGTCCTTTTGCAAAGGTTTACTTTGGCATTCCACTTTTGCTCTTCGGCCAAGGAGATTATTTCACAAGTTGTGGAAATAATCACAGAATCAGATTTTTGAAGCCCAAAAGTTTCCTTCTAGGTTATAAAAACCAGTGTAAATGAGGCTCCTAAGACCAATATGCCAAAAAAATGAGTATTTCCTGCCCAGTTTTAAAAGCAGAATTACACTAACCACCCAGCTCTCACCATTTACTTCAGTCAGATCGCAAGTACTGTTTTCTTTAGATTTAATCTAGTCCCCGAAGGTGTACCAAACAGAGAAAGATCCTCCAGGAGTTCTGAGACACAATCCTGAGGCTCGGTCTTCAGGACAATCCCAGACTTGCTTGTTGCCAAAGACCCGTGATTAACAACTTGAGCACCTTCAGCTCACACTGGTCGCCCATTATCTCCTCCAGCTGAACTGTAAATTGAACAGCTTTACCCAAGCTGACAGAAAAGCAGTTTGTAAAGCACTGGCCCAGCACTGCCAAATCCCCTGAAGATGTCCTACTAGAAAAAGTTCACCCACAGTGCTGAATCAAAGATTACAACGCACTTCAAGAAACTCACCCTTCTCTCTAGATGCGACTGTGGGAAGTACTGTGGAGGTGATCAGCAGGAACAATACACCAGCAGGGAGAAGACCACGGAAGTTATGCCAAACTTAGACAAATCACTTTCTCTGTTTCTAGTTCCAAGGGTCGAGATAGGTTCCTATCTATAGAGTGAATAGCATTTTCATCTACTTTCTCTCAAAGACCTGTGAGAACAAAATAAACATGAAAGGCAATCGAGTCCTCCCTGTGACTATCTGTTGTTCAATAAAAGGTATTCTGGAGTAGATGACGTTACTGACGGGTAAGCTGGAAAGCCAAACAGAGTTTTGCAAAGGAATCTCCCATCAACCCCAAAATGATCCAGCCTCCCCGGTGGACTTCAGAACTGCTTAGGGGGTAGTCATAACCACCCTCAGTGAAGGGTGCAAATAGAATCTAATCATTCATTCCCTTCTCCAATTCCTTAGCCCCTCTAAAAGCGAGTACAGTTTAACACTCTCCTTAATTCCTTAGTGGAGAGAGAAGGAAAGTATCTTGCTTTCAAATCCTTCACCGGCTCCCCACTCCCTACAGGAAACAGTTTAAATTGCTTTGCCCTCTCTTGGTGGGATTACAACAATGTCCTCCTGAGGTGGTCTCCTCTCACTCACTTTTGCACCCTACATTATCAACAAAATTTTCTTTTCAAAAACCATGTCTGGAGCCAGCCCTGATGGTGTAGTGGTTAAAGGTTGGCGCTCTCACTGCTTCCACGGCCCGGGTTTGTTTCCCGGGCGTGGAACCACACCACCCGTCTGTCAGTTGCCATGCTGTGGCAGTGACTCACACAGAACAACCAGAAGGACTTAAAACTAGGATATACCACCATGCACTCGGGCTTTGGGGAGGAAAAAAGAGAGGAACGTTGGCAACAGATGTCAGCTCAGGGTGACTCTTTCCCTGCGAAAAACCCCCCGTGTCTGACGCACTCCACTGTCTGTAATCTTCACTGACTTCCCTCTGCTTTTAGAATAACAGCTCTGCTGGGCCTGACCCCCAGTATTCCCTCACCTGCTTCTCTCACATAGCTCCCTCCCAACTCAGCCATGCTAGCCCTCCTACAACTTCTCAAAAGATTTATTCATCTTCACATTGACATACGCCATTCCCTCAAGCCTGCACTGTTTTCACTTACACGTTCACACCCTTCACAGATGTCAATTCGAAAGTCATATCCTCCAAAAAGCCTTCTTTGAACCTTCTATAAAGGGCACAGGCTTGACAAATCTTTCACACCACTCTGTTATTCCTTCAATGAACATTTCACACTTGCGTGACTATTTATTAAAATCCATCTTCTCTCCTTGACTGTAAGCTCTATGAGAGAGTCTGTTCTCTAAACCCTAGCACTCGCACAGTACCTGGTATATAACACAATAAATATTAGTTGAATGAACAAATGAATAGCATTCTAGTGTCTTCATTATCTGACCCCAACTTTATTTCCCACTTCTCCACAATTCAAATCCGCCACAGACCCGGACTTTTGACTCCCCTAGCAGCACTCTTTTACCTCATCTTGAGGCCTTCAAATCCTGCGGCTTTCCCTGCCTAGAAAGTTCTCCCCATTTCTCTCCACCTTTTCAGATCCCACTGGCTTGCCAAGACCCAACTCTAGTTACCATTCCCTCAGGATATTTCCCGATAGTGCCAGTTCACATGTCTGCCCCTGCTCACAATTCCAAAGCACTCAGCATTCTCTTTTGATAATTACATATAACCTCACTGTATGTCAATGTATCGTGTGTGTGACTTATTTCCTCAACACTGGCGAGAACTCCTAAGGCTGGACTGTTTACACGCGACTCCTCCACTCCCAGAGCAGTGCTAAGGACTGAGTGCTCACTGAAATATTTTATTTTTCCCTAACATACCAGATTTTTCCTCTGAAAAGAATATTAGCTTCCCCTTACTCCTGTTTCTCAGGTGATTCAATTAGCCTTATGTAACTCTCTCCTCAAGTTCCTTTTCAGGGGTTTCTTGCCTACCCTTCCCCCATTCTAATAAAAAATGGTTTGAGCCTTCTGGATTCTTGTTCTTTCTCCCGCCTACAAGGGCCCTGCGTCCTCTGTGAGGGCCCCCTGGCTGCAGTGAGGGGCCCCTAGACCCTTTAAACTGCCCTCCGCCTTCTCACAAGCGCGTAAACCCAGTGAAGGCTCTTCAGCTCCCTGTGACCTCACATACACCACCCGAGATCCTCATCTGGGCCACTCTGTCACCTTTCATACCCCTCAATTAAAGAGGCGGGGATTCGCTGTGACCACCCACCCAAACGAAGGAGAAATGTACTAGACTCGCAGTGTTTCTCCTTTCTGCCTCTCCTACTAAGTACCCCCTGGGGCCCTTTCTCTTCTTCCCTCCTTCCTCTTCCTTAGAGACGGAACCTAGGCCCAAGGCTGCCACAAACCGGCGCCGAGAAACCAGACCCAGCCCCCCAGCCAGCTCCAACGCCACAGCCTCGGCCCCTGCGCCCGCCCCCAGCCCTCCGAGGCGGCGACCGCAGCGCCAGCGCGGCCTAGCCGGGACTCCCCATCCGGCGCAGCCATCGCTCACTGACCCAGCAAGGTGTCAAACGAGGAAGTGGCAGCAGGAACAGGTACAGAGGCAGACAGCCCGGCAGACGTTAACGACTCAGCGCTCCATCCCTCCTGGGCCTATGCTCCGGCCTCACAGCTTCCTAGACCCCAGCGCCCACGGAGCAAGTCACGTGCCAGCGGAGCAGTCAGCTGACCGCGGCGCTCGCCGCCCGGCCTATGCGCGCACTGCGCAGCCGCCGCCGCCGCGACCTCCGGAGGGGGCGGGGCTGGGAGGTCCCCTGGGAGGCCGGGAGACAGGAGTGGGCGCTGGCGGCAGCTTTTTGGGATGGGCGGGGTTTTTCGCTTCTCGTAGTGTCCCGGCGGAGTCTCCTCTGCGGCTTGTGAACGTCACCGCCCCCATCCCTAACGTTACCCCACTTCTTCAGGTTTCTGCGGGTCAGAATTTGTCGCCAGCCCCTACACAGGCTGCTCTGCTCGGGGTTTTCTTCCGACAGCTCCGCTCCCTGAGTAATATCCTTAATAGTTCCCTTCACTGATTCACATTTTCTTTCCAGTCCACTTCAAGTTAATTCCATAAATGTTCATGGAGCGTCTTCTGTGTACTAGGCATTGTGCTGATTTTGTAGGGTTATGAATCACTTCTTGCCGTGAGAGAGCATGTTATCTGGTTCAGGGGTGTGTGTGGCGAGCGATAAACGTCATAAATAGCTGCAGCCACAGTAGATAGTGGGAAACCAAGGAAGGTTTCAGGACAAAGGCATGGACAGGAGAAAGCATATTCTTTGGGGGAAAATAAGGTAGGAAGCTGCTCTTCTGAACCCTGCATATTTCATTGGCTTGGGAAGATAGCTGGTATTATTCTAATTTAGGACATAGTTTTAGAAACAGTAGACAACTTGGTGATTTTCTAATTTAGTCCTTTTAGATTTGCAGATGAGGAAGGTAAAGAACCAGCGGTCACAGAGCTGTTTAGTGCAAGGGAATAGATGTATCTGATTTTAAATCCTGGCTCCACTACTGACTAGCTGTGTGACCTTAGGCCTCTAAACTTAGCTTGTTCACCTGTAAAGTGGTAATAATACGTACCTTGTAGAGGTATTGGGAGGATTAAATGAAGTATGCATTTAGCACAGTACCTAGCATATAAGAAACACCCAGTAAATGCTCACCCTTATTGCTATATACTACAGAGACCCAGATTTTCTGACCTATCCTGTGCCTTTTCTGCTGTTGTGTCCCTTTAGAAATTCACCACAGAATTTCTTAGAGCCTCGATATTAGGCTCTAACAACCAACCTAACTATCCCCGACCTGATGCTTTTCACCAATTTCGAATGAAGTTCTTGCAATTCTACCAACCAGTTCTATAACCCAGCTTTGGAAACTTGTCAGGAACTCCACAGGCTTTATCTGGCATCACAAAATGGGCCTAACAATATTTTGTTAGATCTGTACTGTCCAATAAAACTTTCTTCGATGATGGAAAGATTATTCAGTGCTGTCCATATGGTACCCGCTAGCCTTATGTGGCTATTGAGCACTTGAAATGTGGCTAATGTGACTGAAGAACGGAATTTTAAAATTTATTTCACTTTGATTAATTAAAATTTAAATACCCACAGGAGGCTAGTGGCAACTGCTTTGGACAGTGCAATTTTAGAGTCTGCATTTGAAAGTTTTTGGTTTCTTTATGCTTGTGTGTGGCCCTGAAGCAGAATTCTCATCTCAGTTTCTGAATTTATAAACTTAAGTGCATCTGCTTCTGAGCTCCCAACACTTTCCAGCATTTTAAACATCATGTTTTACTTGAGAGGTAGTATAATGCAGTGATCAATTAATATTAGCTCTAATTATTATTGGGCTTAGCATATCTCATTAAAAAATCTAGCAAACGTGTTTCCTACAAGCAGGGCATGATTGCTTTCTAATAGCTTCTAGTGGTAAGAAACTGCGTTTATCAAGAGGAAAGCTCGCTTTTCTATACTATGCATAGGAGCATCTTAGATTTCTAAGTATGTATAACAGGCGTTCCACACCTTTTCCTGCATTTCCAACTGTCTAAATATTCCTATCTGGAAGCACCTTCCAAGCTTAAAACACAGAAAAAAATGCATAGGGAAGATTTATTTTTCTCTTACAATTTTTTCAAGGGAAAAAGATGAATGTTTTAATTAAAGTGGGGAAAGTATTTGAAACTAATATCATAGTAGGAATCAAAATCATTTTTCACCCCCCTACAATATTTAAAATATCTTGAAAGTTAGTACTGGTGTTCCCCTTAGAAAAGGAAATGTCCTTGTTTAGGAAAATACCTTGATAAACTAGCAGAGTGGAAGATAAACTGAGAGCTTGGGTAAATGGAGACCAAGAAACTAAAGATGTAATTAAACTAGTTTCCAATAGAGATTGGAAAGGAAAAGAAATTGGTGAGTGAAGACACAAGAGGAAGGCGTAGGGAAGTTAAGGGAAGAGAGAAGAGAAAGAGAAAGCAACGTGGTAAACGACTTGTAAAAATAGGAGCGTTTAGAACTCCATCGAGATTGCTTCAATTGCTGTGATGTAAATCCTTTGCCATCTACCCAAATCTTTAATGAAGTCTAAGCTCAAGTGCTTTATATGAGCTATTTTTTTGCAGAAATTTATGCTATCCAGGTTACATTATATAAAGAGCTCAGACAAAATGATAAGAACAATACCAAGATCCCAACACACAAGTGAGCAAAAAGCACAAACAACTGAGAAAAAAAATGCCACTGACTAAAACATGGGAAAATGTTCACTCCTACTAGTGCTCAAAAATATAAATAAGAAATACAAATATGCATCTTTATAAAAATAAATATATAAATATAAATAACTTGTATTAGCAAAGATGGAAATATATACATAATAGCAAATGCTGGTGAAGCTGTGATAAGATAGAATCTCTTACACTGCTGGTGCAAATATAAATTGGTACAGCTTTTACAGTCAGCAGTTTGACAGTATGGATGAGAAGCCTTAAAGATGCTCATTCCATTTTATCCACATTAGGGTGGAAATAAATGGAAAAGATAGGAAAATATTTATGCAAAATATGTTTGTTACATCATAATGTCTGTTTTCACGATCAACAACATTAAGATTTAGTTGAAGACCTAAGCCCCCTATGAAGGTGAAGGGTTGAAAATGGTTTGAGGTTTAGATCTTGAATTTTTCGAGTTTAATGTTCAGGGTTAACAAATAGAATACACTAGACCAGTGGTTCTCAACCAGAGGGTATTTGGCAATGTCTGGAGACATTTTTGCTTGTCACAACCTGTGGGGAGAGGGATGCTACTGGTATCTAGTGGGTAGAAACCAGGGATGCAGTGAAACATCCTACAATGCACAGCAAAGAATTATCTGATCCAAAATGTCAGCAGTGCTGAGGCTAAGAACCCTAATACTAGACCCATGATATTCTCGGATTCCCAAATTCATGATTAACAATGTAGTATGTAATGCTGTTAGTTTTTTATCTGTAAAATTGAGCCAAGAATATCTACCTCTATTGTTGTAAGAACAAAATGGAATCATGTATTAAATTATGGTTACACTGCCACTTTGAGATGTCAGCTAGGCTCACTCACTAGCTAAGAGATTGACTCCTGTATGCCAGCCTCGTAGTGAATTCCTGACTTATCACAATCACAAACTTCTACATATCATGCCCCTTGCTTGAGAAAAATACAGAAATTTTTTAATCAATAAATGCTGAGTATTTAATGAATAATAGCTTTTTTTTTTTTGGTGAGGAAGATCGGCCCTGAGCTATCATCTGTTGCCAATCTTCCTCTTTTTGCTTTGAGAAAGATAGTAACTGAGCTAATACCTGTGCCAATATTCCTCTATTTTTTGTATGTGGGACGTCACCACAGTGTGGCTTGATGAGCAGTGTGTAGGCCTGCAGCCAGGATCCACACCTGTGAACCCTGGGCTGCCGAAGCAGAGCATGCAAACTTAGCCACTTGGCCATGGGGCCAGCCCCAAGAATATTTCTATTCAGATGCATGCACATTCTCAACCTGTGCCATAGGCCCAGGGAAGCAGGTGGAGGGTGTCTGTTTCTAACCTTCCCCAGAGCAAGAGTTGAGGACATCTGTCCTCTTGGTGCCTCAGCTGGGCTGTCAGCTATGGGGTGTCTCCGTTGTCTGCATTCCATTCCCTGCTGTTCACCAGGATCACCACTAATGCCTCCGCATCCTTGAAGCGTTGTGTGACTCCCATAATTATATATAACAACAACAATAACAGCTGGATTTCTAGAGCAGTTAGGTTTGTGCTCAGCACTGTTCTATAGGCGTTGCATGTAATAACTCATTTAATCCTCACAACAACCCTGAGAGACAAGTATTATTATTATCCCCATTTTACATATGAGGAAACTGAGGCACACGATGATTATGTAATTTGAGCAGTTAGCAGGTGGCAGATCTGAGTACTCAGCCCAGGCTGTCTGGCTCCTGGGTCCATGCTCCTAACCCTGCAGCACTGTCTCTCCCTGCGCTGTGTGTCTCTTAGACACACTCCTTTTACACTCCGAATTCTCATGGCACTCTTAAGGTATTTTCCTAATTTCACTTACATTTTATCAACCTTACCAAGACCACCTTTTACTCAAAGAGTCTTGAATGTGCATTGTACATGGTAAACATTCAATAGGCGATAATTAAATAGATTTCACAACTAAAGGAAAGGCTAGATTCTCAAACATTTTGTGATAGAGAGGAAAGGAAGAGGTTACCAGTAATTAAACCTGTCAGTTCCTTTCTTCTGTTCCCTGTATTCTTGGTCCCTGAACTAACAGAAATTATCATCTTTATCATTATTTCCTTGGAAATGTTATGAAACCTTCTTGGGAGCAGCAAATGTTCATAGAAGTAGGAAATTTTTTTTTAAGTCATTCTGCCCTCTCACCTTCAATGTTTTGTTCCCTTTATTATTACTTCCTAATGTGCTCGATCCAGCTTTAAATGACACAATGGGAAAGATTTTGGACTACTGTTCTGTACTAAGAAGTGGTTGCGTATGGACTAAATCTATTTAATTTTCATCTTATTTACACTAATAGCCTAAAAGTAATAATGCAGGAAGTTAGCATTCAGTAGTTTTAATGAACCAATCAATTAAGCAAAAAAAAACAAAACCAAAACATACACAAAAATACCTGTTGCATTTAATAATTATAATGTCTTCTCTTTAGTCTCCTACTTATTCTTTCACCTAAATCCTCAATTTACAAACATACATCTTCAAAATATTTAGTAATACGTAGGGCAACTGATTTACTGAGGGGAGAATGTGTTTAAAAAATTATCAACAGAAATAACACTCATTTTAAGTGCCCTTTGAATATTTCTATCGCAGCCCTTACTATCTTATTGAATATATTTATGTGGCTCTCTCTGGTAGGGAAAGAATTCTTGCAGATCTCTCACATTTCTGCACCTCTTGGGAGTAGAAGCACTGACTGCCTTTTTCTTATCTTTTCAAGGATGTTTGTATAGCAAACAGCATTGGAAGACAGAGATTATGTCTCCTTCTGAAGTGCTGGACAGCCACACTTAAACACAGTATAAAAGATTTGGGCTCCCTAAGCCCAGGGTTACTCTCCTGTAATGAAATCGATTGTGTGTCCCCACATCCATCTGGGCCCATCCATGTCCCTGCTGTGAGAACTGGGGCAGAGGGGACTGATGCAAACATGCTGGTGCTCGTGCTGCTTGCTGTGCTGTGGGTAAAAGTCCTCTGTCTCTGACCCAGGGGTCTTGTGTCTGTTACCAGCACCCATGAAACTGACAGGCCAGGCTAGCTTGTAGGTTAAAATCTCAGACCCTTCCCAGTTCCTGACAGTGTTGATGACAAGGATGTGTGTAGTAGAGAAATAGCTTTCTGGAAGAGAAAGGATGAACATCTCATAGGCCAATTAATGGAATTTGCAAGAAGTCTGTGGACATTGTTAGTAAGCCAAATTGTATGGTCCCTGGGAATCAGTTGTAGGCTAAATTGTATGGTCTGCTGAGAAATAAATTGCCCTCTCCTTTACTGCCTGTTAATGAGGAGGGATTGGGGAGGTGGTTGCAGGCCATGTAGTCTCAAAGGCTACAAATGGGGCCACGGTTGCTATCCTACTAACTACTAACTCTCCCCCAGGCAGAGACACCTCCTCACCATTCTGGCAATCAGCCTTAGGTCCACCTCTTATAATAACGAATGTTAATATTTTTCCTGGGCAGGCAGAAGGTCCCACCCCCTCTCAAACAACAGTTATAGAGATCATAAGGATAATAACCACTTGGCTAAACACACTATTGGCCAAGTCTCCCTACAGTGGCCCACGTGGGCCAAAGTGGGAACATAATAAATGGCTGTAAGTTCATAAAAATGCTTTGTCCCTTTTGGATGGCTTTTCCTGATGAAAGGTCTGGGTAAGAGTAGGGAATGATTGGGAAGAGGTGAAGGTATAGCTACTGGAATGGAACACACTGAGTTTGTGACGGTGGAGAGAGAACAACAATCCAGCAGCTGGGCAAGTGACACCTTATACCTCAGCAGATGTGGGACAGAAAGACCTTAAGGATCTTTGTCCTTTGGAATCATCCCTGAAGCCTTCCTCAGGAAAGAAAACATCTTCGTGTGATTCTCCTAAACTGTTGCAAGCACCTTAGATTTAATTCACTGCTGGTCTGCCATCCCCTTCCAGATGACTCTGAGCACAGTTTGAGGTTTGATCGCCATTCCCCTTAACCTTACCAAGATGTCTATCTGAAATAGCAAGAGATGTCCCCAGCTCCGGCACCTGCCACACAAAACACCTGTCAACACCTCTGGATGTCTTCCCCACTCCCCTTCCCATAGCCATTGCTCAGTCATTTCTTGGGATGGATAAATACCACCTTCCTGGTGATATGGACAAACAGGAGCGTTTACTCTAACTGTCCTCAGGCACCTCCTCCATAAACAAGGACTAGGCTCAATTATTCAAAGCAACCTACAAACCCTAAGATTTAACAGCTGGTGGAGAGGCCATGTTGGTGGCACTGTTGACCTATACCCACTGAATGGTCTATGTCTGACTTGAGGGCCTCCAACAATTATAAGCAACACTTTCTTTCCGGGACTGCCATTGTGCATTCCCAGGACTGTATTGCTTGCATGGAAGCCAGTCATTATCTTTACTTACTCCCCAAAACATGGTGACTTGCAACTTACGAGTGATCATAAGAGACCTTCAAGTGTTCAAGGAAACAGCGCTAGCAGATCACACAGCCGTGAAATGTGAGTCCAAAATGAAGCTTCCTTTCATTACCTGCAAGAGCTTTCCCAAAGGATAGCTGACTCATTATTTATGCAGAATCTGTGGCCATTTATTGCTACGAAGGAAGCCATCCCATTATAAAAAACAGTACAAAATTTGTCCCTGACTTTACTTAAGCTGAAGTGATCAATGACACCACCTTGGCCCCGGAAGACATTCAAGTCAGCCTCCACTTACTAACCAGGGACATTACAGGTGGTAGAATTGCTTTAAACTTCTTCCTCATGGGCCAAGGCAGAGTCTATAGGATTGCTAATACATCCTTCTGTGCCTATGTTAATGCCGTGGGCCAACGGAAAATATCAATACAGAAACCTAAGGAGAGAGCCCCATGATTTTTCTGAAGTTAGACCCTGGTGGTTTATGGGATTGTTCAATGGGTTGATTCTGAGAACCTGGGGGACATAGCTGAGGCCATTGCTGCAGGATGGCTTCTCCTGCTGCTGGATTCCTGTTCATAGTAGCCTTTATAAGATGCTGTATGACACAAATTGAACAGATTTGGTCCTAGCCTCTGTCAGTTAGATTAATTGGAGTGGCCAGTAGAGTGGCATATTTATGGGAAAATTCATCAGAAGCCAAGACAGTATGGAAATGAAGGGTAGACATTGCTGGAAGACAGTGCTTCACAGGTTTCTTGAATTTCTCCTGTTCTGGATTCTCTTTTCAAGTATGTTTGTATAACAAACAGTGTTGAAAGAGAGAGATAGTATCTCTCTTCAGAGCAAAGGTCAAGTAAGCATGTTTTTTCTTTCTGCTTTTTTTCTCCCCAAATCCCCCAAGTATGCAGTTGTATATTTTAGTTGTAGGTCCTTCTAGTTGTGTCAGGTAAGCATTTTTTAAAACAGATTTTTATTTTAGAATAGTTTTAGATTTACAGAAAAGTTATGAAGATAGCAGAGAAATCCCATAAATCCTACACTCAGTTCCACTATTATCAGCATCTTATATTAGTATGGTACATTTGTTTAGGTAAGTTTTATACTGTTTGGTCTGAAAGATTTGGGTTCCCTAAGCTCAAAGCCCTCTCTTGTAATGCAACCCACTGTGTGTCCAGGGATCCAACTGGATCTGTCTACATCAACTGTGTGGGATTCGGAGGCAAGGGGAGCCAACATAAATATGATGATGCTCATGCTGCTTACCGTGTGGTAAGTAATAAACTCCTTTTTCTCTGATCCAAGAGATTTGTGTCTTATACCCACATCCATTAAAAGATAGCAGACTAACTTGTTAACTCATATGCAGGATAAAATCCCAAACCCTCCACATTTTTTGACAATCCCCCTCTCCCTTCACCAACTCAACTCTTTGAAGGCATGGAACAAGTTTCTGTTTGATAAATATAGACTGAACTTCACTAAAATGGGCTAATAATCTATTTTAACAATTGTGTAGAATGAATTTGAGGTCAGAGGTCAGGCTGGTGTCTGCATAGAACTTAGTCATATCAATCAGTCTTTGCCTACTAATTGAAGGGGAACGGAGCACACACTACAGGCCCATGGGGGTAAGGCAGTCATAGGGGTGAAGGTGAGAGAAAGTGGAGTGTTGGGAAAGTTGGACAGGTAAGAGCTATCTGCAAGGTGTGAGAAAGTATAGACCAATTCATAAGACCTGGTGCCTGGAGGATGCAGGAACAGACCTCAGGTATTGCTGACATGTGATCACGAGGGTGCATGAGTCATCTATGAGTAACACGCAATAAGTTACTTTGGCATAGCACGGTGACAGGCAGTTCCAGCAGTCATTCAGTGAGCGAGTCTGTGAGCCTTTGGAAGGACCCTCGCTCTTGGCCTGGAGTTCAGCAGTAGGGTTCTAGTCCTGAGCGGTACAGCAGCAAAAGGCATGCGTGATATGGGACGTGGATTCCAAAGTAGGGATTCTCAAACAGGGTGAGGATGGACTTTGAGAAGTACAATTAATATCAAATATCATATCACTTTATTTGGGGGGGGACACTGTGTGTTTAATACAAATTAATATCTGACAAAGTATTTTTGACGTAACTAATTCTCTGGGGGCCATGAAAGTTTTGTGATTTTCAACAGTGAGCATGGGTTAGTTAAAGGGAAGGAGGGTTGTAAAGCTGTAAGGCACAGGGTGATGATCATGAATCTCAGCATGTGAGCTAGAGGGCCTCACATCTCTGCTCTGGTCTCAGGCTGGAACAGAGCCCTGAGACTCCAGAAAAGAACAGCCGCAGAAGCTGAACACGAGCAGTGTCTAAAGAGCCATGTGAGTGATCCTAACGTATTTTCTAACACACACACACATGCACACATACGCTTTTAAAACTGAAAATACCATTAAATACCCAGATTGCACTAAAACAATCCCTGACAGTAATAATCCCCCAAAAGTATCAATTTACTTACAGAGCACCTAGATAGATATAGCTAATATTGTGTAAAAGCATATGAGATGGACTGTCAGGTTTAAAAAACTAATCCTATAAAATTAAATCCAGTTTATATGACACTAACAAGTCCACCCTGTCATACCAAAAAAGATTTTTTTTCCTGGCTCTACTATTTACTAACTCTATGATCCTGGGAAAATATCAAGTGCCTAGCGTGTTAATGAGGTTAATATTAGCACCTCATAAATTTTGAGGTTTGAGATAATGGAAGTGAGAGTGCTTTGAAATTATACTTGCTATATAATTTTTATTATGATATATGTTCTCCAACTAGGCTTTACAAATATCCAGTCCAAAATGGTGTATCAATACCAGCGCATTCACTGAGAGAATGAAATATACAAGTACCCCCCCTCCCCACCCCCAGGAAATGGAGTGACTACAACCTAGATGTAAAAGGGTGAATTAAGAAAGGGAGATAAATATTAATGGAATATAAATGCAAATGACATTGGCAACATGAAAGCAAGCATGAGTGACCTGCTAGCTGGAATTTAGACTCTATTTCTTCACTTTAGACAGTTAACTAAGAGCTGTAGCAAACTAAGGTTTTCTTTCAATAAATGTAAATTTTGCAGTCAAGGAGGAAATAATAGTCTCTCCCTACACCTTTAAGTTTGCTGCGTACGGTAAATTATAAAGGAATCTGGGGGGAGTATTGGTGTTGGGGAATGATAAATACGAGCAAATGTTTTCCTTCCACTATTAAAAAGCAACCTGATAATTTTATGTGATTGTGTTCTAAAATAAAACAAATACCTTCGAACTTGGAAACTGTTTAATTGTTGAGATAATTCGCCTTTTCTTCATCAGTTGATAAGTTTAGGCCCAAAAGGGAGAAGCTGCACAATAAGTTCCCTTTGTATATGTGGTTCTTTGATAAGAGCTATAAAACACTATTTTGTATTCTAGCAAGCAGCTTACAAATATCAGCAGGTAAACTGCTAGTTCTTTAATTTGATGATTCATTAAATGATCTGTTTTTTTTTTACTATACCTCCCTACCCCAAGCACACCCTTGCAACTCCCCTCCCTAACCGATGGAGCTTGTACTGGAACCCCCTAGGAGTCTTGTTAAAAGTGCAGATAACTGAGGCCCGTGAAAAACACTGAAAGTGTATTTCAGGGTTCGTGGCCTTGGTATCTACATTTAATAGAAGCTCACTAAATTTGATCAATCATTGTACTAGCACTTGTTGAGCATTCCTTCCTACAAACCTCTGTGGCATGGCTGTATTATTCATTTAGCATTTAGGGTGTGTTAGTATGTATTCATTCATTGAACAAATATTTTTAAGGTGCCTACTGTGTGTCCAACACTGTCCTAAAAATTCATTTTTTGATGCATCTACCACCAACCAGATTAAAAGGCCCTTTCAGATACGGATCCTAAGTAAACATTTCTTTGTAATCCTAGAGACTGATAGTGTACCCTCCATTTAATAGTTTTCCACCCAGGGTCCATTCCCTTCTTCCCTTTTAACAGAATCCCAGTTTTGTTCAGGGACCCATCCATATAGCCATATATTTCAGAGGCAATTTTCAGAAATGTGTCCTATTCCTCTGAAGGTAATGCCATTTCCCTTGCCAATGATTGTGTCACGTCATGTGACTTAATTCTGGCCAATGAGGCAGGAGGGGAAGGCTGCTGAGAAGTTTCTGTGAAGTCTCCTTACTCCTAGAACAGAGCCACAGGAAGAGGTGGTCTCTCTTCCTCCACATAGTTATACTTCTGTTGTGATATCTGGAATTGCTGCAGCCATCTTGTTACTTCCCTGAGGAAGAAGCTTCCACTGGGGATAGCAGAGAAGAGAAATGGAAAAAACCTGGGTCCTTAATTACTTTGTTGAGCCACTCATCAACCAACTGCAACATTTACTCTACCTCAGGACTTCCAATTTATTGTTAATGCCAGTTTGAGTCTGTGTTTCTCTACTTGCAGCCACAGCGTCCTAACTGATGCTCAGTAAATGTCAGTTCAAGATGATGTTGAGGGGCCGGCCAGGTAGCACAGCGGTTAAGTGCGCACGTTCCACTTTGGCAGCCTCGGGTTTGCCAGTTTGGATCCCGGGTACGGACATGGCACCGCTTGGCAGGCCATGCTGTGGTAGGCGTCCCATGTATAAAGCAGAGGAAGATGGGCGCGGCTGTTAGTTCAGGGCCAGTCTTCCTCAGCAAAAAGAGGAGGATTGGCAGCAGTTAGCTCAGGGCTAATCTGCCTTAAAAAAAAAACATGATGTTGACAATTATGTGAAAAATAAAATGATAGACTTTCCATATTCCAAGATGGTTCTGCTCACTATTATTGAGATTTATTTGTGAGGCTGTGAATAAAAATATCAATGCAAGACCTACAATCTTTACTCTACAGAGATACCCTCTTTCTCCTAAGCCCTATAACCTTCTTATGTGCCATTCAGAAGCAGGAAGGTCAGAAGAAGGTGAGTGGCCCCCACAAATGTCTAGGAGCCACCAGTGTCCTCTTCCTTTTTGACCACCCCTCATCGCCTGACCTTTATCTATCTCCTCTCTTGGCTTATCTGACACTTGCTTACTATGTCACTTTTCTTCCTACATGTCAAACCTGTCCTCTCTCTCCTTCAATGGCTCCCTTTCTCTTCTACCTACAGAAGGTGAGTCTTTCCGAAGAACGGATTCTCCGTTCTCCATTTCTTCCATTCTACTAGAGTTTAAACTATTTACTCATCCCACATTTGCAACATCCCACATAGTGGACAGTTTCACCTAGATGTCTCACTCGAATCAAAATCAGTATGTTCAAAGTCAGACCTACCAATTTGTATCTGAAAATCATCTTATTTTTCTAGAAATTATACTGCAGTTCTTTCAAGCTTAAGACCTTGAGATCCTCTTTGATTTCTCTGTCTTCCTCATAATTTTCGCTGGCCCCAAGTCCTAACAAGTCCTCTTGCATAATTTCTCTTGCATACACCCCCTCCTTTCCGTTCTTACAGCCACCATCTTGGTTCAGGCTCTGACTTCATCACTTTGAACCTGGAATACTGCAATATCTCTAAAATGCATTCCTCTCCGTGCTCTCCCCCTGCCCCACCCAAAATCCTTCCTGCATACTCCAGAACAGCTCCCCAGTCAGAACCCTTCAGTGAGTTCCCACTGCCTTACATTCGTGTCCAAATTCCATGGCCCAGCAAGGCTCCAAAATTAGAGTCAGTTATCTTTTCAGCGTGGCTCCAAATATGCCTCTATATACAGCCTTTAATTCAAACGAGTTATTTCACTTCTCGTTACCCAAGTCCTCCTGACAGTTTCCTTCCTTCCGCCTTGGGTCTATATTAGACTGCTCTTTGTCTCCATCGACCAAAACTGAACCTATTTTCCAATGCCCACGCAAGAGTCTGAAATTGTCCTCATCATTTCATATGGAAGTTATTCATAAAAATAATAATGATGATTTAAAACAATAGCTACCATTCAATGAGTGCTTACAATATGCCAGAAGTTGTAAAATCCCATTCTTGTAAAATGTGAATGATAAAACCTACCTAATAAAGTTATTGTGAGGAGTCAATGAGACAATGTACGTAAAGGGCTGAACCCAGATCCTGGGATATGTGGAAGGTGCCCAATAAAAATGAACTGAACTGTCGTTAATTATACCATTGAAATGTCACAGGTTTTGCCATCAGTCAAAATGCCATGTCTTGGCCACTCAAAAGAGAATGAGCGCTGAGGAAGTGGCTAAGACGC